TGTCCCCCTCCAGTGCAGGTCTGTCCCCCTCCAGTGCAGGTCTGTCCCCCTCAAATCCAGCAAGGCTGTGTGCCCGTGCCAAAGGGCATCCCAAGGCAGCAGCAGAAGCAGGTCTGCAAAATTCCAGCCCGGAAGATAAAGTAGAAGACAAGAGGAGTGAGGACAAACAAAGGGAACGTCTCACTCGTGCACCCTCTGATGGGCCCCACATCCTGTGCTGCTCGTGGGGCTCTGCTCTGTTGTCTTACTTGTAACGTGCTTTGAAGGGATAACCCACAGTCTCTGTGAAATATTAAATGCTCTTCCCCTCCTTATTTCACAGCAGATGTGGAGGCAATAAAAAATGATGGCTCAAAACCCCCCTTGGCATCAGTGTTTTCCACTTCATCCCTTCAAGCTGCTTCTGGTCCTTCTTGTGGCCAAAGCTGGTGTTTGCACCCTCGTGAGGCTCCTGCTTGGTTCAACCTGATGTCTTTTGATTCCTCCCCTGGCCAACTTCCTTGCTGGGAGGAAATAACAGTTTTCATCATGTTTGTGCAACACAGTAATTAAATAGCAATATAGTAATGGAAAAAAACTCACATTTCATCAGAGAGGTAAAAATGAGAAGGTCTGCCTGGCCTTCATTCATCCACCCATGAGGCAACGGGAACAGTTGGACTTGCACCACAAACCTCCAAAAAAAAGCCCTGGGGAAAAAGTCAGGGAGAGAATTCAGGAATGGCTCTAACAGGGTGAAAGGCCCCGAACTCCTGGTTAGATAAGGCCTTGTGGGGCTGGGAGAGGAATCACCAGGGAGGATTTCTGGAGCAAAGCAGGGATCTGGAGCCGGTGACTCACAGCACCGTGTCCTTGGAGGCTCCTGGCATCTCACCTAACCCAGGTGAGAGCCTCCCTCAGCTCCATCTCCCCTGTCCTGCCCGGCCCAGCCCCCAGGACATGACACATCACGGAATCAGCTGCTTCCCAGCACTAGTGGGGGAGATTTCTCCTGCAGCACCACCTGAATAAGGAAAAGAAGCAGGAACAGGTGCAAGGGCACCTTCCTGGGGTGGAGGGTTTAGAGGTGGCCACACGCTGCCCCAACACCACCACAGGCCATCCTTGCAACGTCCCAAAGGCAATTCCTTCCATAAAACCAACAAATAACCCCAAAAAAAGCACCATCCACTCAAAATATTGTCAGGGGACTCAGGGAAGCCTCTCCTGAAGAGCAGGAGCTTTGCAGGAGATGTGAGGGCTCAGAGACCAGCTGAGGGGTCAATATGGTCCTGTCGGGGTCTCCCACGAGTGGCCTCCCCGCCAGGCCACGCTCAGGGGCCTCTGTCACCGACAGAAAGGATGAACAAGTTTCTCCCCATCCACGTGACCTGGGCTGGAATGGGTTGTGGATCCAAGTTTCACAAGGATTTCTGTTCTCCCGACGTTTGTGAAATATCCCGAGTCACGTTCCAGTTTCCTCATCTCTCAGTTGCTTCAGGTGATTCAGCTCCTCTGGGGGCTGATGAGTCTCCTCGACTCTGCATTTTAATTCCAATTCAATCTGTGCCATTATTAATATTACAGTGTCCTCTAGAGTCCTGGCTGAGATCAGCCCTGGGCAGATCCATAGGCAGAAAGACACTTTTCTCCCCCAAACAGAGCATTAAATCAGTGAAGATGCTGATCCCAATGTCCTCCTTCTCCAGCCTGGATGCTCTTGGGCTCCTGTGGAGCTTTAAATTCCTTCTGTTTGGCTTAAAAGCCCTTGAGTAATGAAAAGACTGGCTTGGACTCTTGCAAGGCTCCTTTCAGTGCCTCCTGGCTGGTTTTACTCAGAATTAGGGGTCTCTGGTGTTGCTCCCTGCCCATGTCCCCCCTCCTGCCTTCGCCCACTCCCACAGTCAGCAGGAGTTTGATGCAAAGCCTCACCTCGCCATGTCCCACCTCTAAACCCCCAAATCAAACCTCAGTAAGAGCTTTAGAGCCCAGGGGTGACTTGACTGCCTTTGTAACCCCCCAGGACCGAGCCCCAGTGCTGGCCCAGGGGCTCCTGGAGGACACAGTCCTTGTTTTCAGGTCACCCCCCACACAGAACAGCCCCAGGCTCTGTGATCCCCTGCTGCCACCCTCATACCTGCAGCCCTAGTCCCCTTTGTCTCCTTCACCCACTCACAACCCAGATTCTTTTTTTCCCACGCTGCCCAAATACCTTTATTTTTACCACACACCCCCACGGCCTCATTTGTTCCCTTTCCCTTTCATTTTTGGGTTCCCTTCACAACCCAGCCCACCAGCCCACCCCACAATCCCACCTTCCCCTAATATTTGTCCCTTCCCAGTTTGGGCTCGTGGCTGCTTTGCATTAAGCCCAAGAAACAGGTAAATTGTGCAGTCAAAGGTAACAAGGCCATTCAGAAACCTGCCCGTCCCGAGCCAGGCGTGGTGGGCAATTAACATTTTTCTGGAGTAACGAGGGGAACGGCGGGATATCGATCTGCTCCCAGCACCATGAGTCAAATCAGCAGGGCAAAAACTCCCAATTAGCAAAGTGCTCGGGGTGCTGAACAAGCAAGTCCCTCCAGTGGGGCCCCATCTGGTTTCCGGAGGGAACACACGGAGGGTGCCCTATAAAAGCCCTCGCGCCCCTTCGCTCCTCATCTCCTCGGCCTCACGTCTCCTCCGAGCTCCTGCTGAACGGGGTAAGTGCAGCTTCATCAAACTTTGGCACCTCTGATGCTCACCAGCCCTGCCCCAACCCCGAGCTCTTGGCCTCCTGTGTCCCATCCCTCTGACTGTCTCTGGCCCAGACCTTTTGCCTCGTTGTCTTCTTCATCCATTTCTGTAGATAAAGAATAAAAAGCAAGTTGGAAAACATAAAACTTTCTGGCTCAGATGGCCGAGGACTCCTCGGGACTCTGTCCACCCCTTCTCACTCATCCCCGGGAGTTTAACTTCTCTCTGATATGTTTGCTAAACACAGAAGGGAAATATTTGCCCAGAGGACCAGCACGGGCAGACGTGGGCTGCTACTTTTTCTCTCTTCTTCAAGAACCTGGATTATAATCATAGAATCATGGAATGGTTTGGTTGGGAAAGGGCCTTAACAATCATCTTGTTCCACCCCCTGCCATGGGCAGGGACACCTTCCACTAGCCCAGGTTGCTCCAAACCCCATCCAACCCGGCCTTGGACACTCCCAGTGTTCTTTGCTGTGGCACTCACTCAAAGATGAGTCTTCCCAGCAGGTCTCCAAGGATGTGCTCCCGCCAGGACAAAGACCAGTGCCACCAGCAGGAACGATCCTCCTGCCACAGCAGTGAAGGCTGTCACAGGAGCAGCGGATCCGGATGCCACGGGAGCAGTGGTGGATCTGGATGCCACAGGAGCAGTGGATCCGGATGCCAAGGGAGCAGTGGATCTGGATGCCATAGGAGCAGTGGATCTGGATGCCACGGGAGCAGTGGTGGATCCGGATGCCACAGGAGCAGTGGATCTGGATGCCACGGGAGCAGTGGTGGATCTGGATGCCACGGGAGCAGTGGTGGATC